AAAAGCCTTAGCACAAGTAGCGTACGGTGTCGGGTGGGGGCACCTCATTACTATTGAAGATATACCTAATCGACCGAAGTTATCTTGTGTCCCCATTGTGCCCTACGTAATTTAAAAACATTAAATCTTCCCCTAACCACTAGCCTTTAATAAGCAAGTGGGATCCATTTCATAAACATTAATTCCTCTAAACAGAAACCTACTGATAGCATTAGAAATTGTATAAAATGATGATTCACATTATTCATGAAATTTTATCATTTTATTTGATAGTATGCGTCTTGTATTCGATATAATATGTATGAATATACACACACTCACTTTAAATTATATCAGTATTATATACGTGAATCAGCGCTTTACCGTGTGCAAGACCATGGGAAAGGCTGCACTTCCATTAGGTCAATGACCTAGAAACATTGAAACCACATTCCAATCCCACAATTGGTACCTGCTCTTTATTTTTTTTATTTTATTCTATATTGCCTAATAAAATATTATCTTCTTATTTGTTTATTAGAAAAGTATATGTGAGTCAAATCTTTAAATATATATTTAGGTTGAAGCAAGAATAAAAATTTTATTTATTTGGTTATAAAAAAATTAAAGGAGAAAGGAAAATAAAGTCTTTTATTTTTTTTAAAAAAATTATTAACTTATTCAAACGAGGGAGAAAAAATAAAAGGATATAATTCATTCTTCTATACAAAGTTAAGACACTTTAAAATTATATTATTTTAATAAAATTTTATTAAAAAGACTAACATAATGTATTTTTAAGACACAAATGAAATTACTTTCATTTTTTTTATAATATTTTATTAAAAGTAATTTTGGGATTTTTAAAAAATTTTTTTTTAGAGAATCTTACTAATAAATACAATATCTCTTTATTTATGTTATCTATATATCAAGAAATTCAAATATAGAACTTTTTATTTGTACTTACTGCACAATGATTTATCGAGCACTTTATTTGTTTTGTAGTAACTGTTATTTTTTTATATAAATTAAAGATTTCCAAATTATTTATGCACTTATTTATATTACATTTCAAAAAATTAATAAATAAAGTAAAA